GGCCACCTTCCCTGCATTTCTTTTCATTAGTTCCTTTGATATTCTGGACCTTTTGTTTTCCAAATGAATCCTGTTATTATTTTTTTAACTCTATAAAATAATTTTTGGTAGTTTGATTGGTATGGCACTGAATAAGTAAATTAGCTTAGGTAGGATTGTCATTTTTATTATATTAGCTTGGCCTACCCATGAGCAACTGATGTTTTTCCAATTATTTAGATCTGATTTTATTTGTGTGAAAAGTGTTTTGTAATTGTGTTCATAGAGTTCCTGGGTTTGTTTTGGGAGGTAGACTCCTAAATATTTTATAATGTCTACAGTAAGTTTAAATGGATTTCTCTTTCTATCTCTTGCTGTTGGGCTTTGTTGGTAAATATAGAAATGCTGATGATTTATGTGGGTTTATTTTATAGCCTGCAACTTTGCTAAAGTTGTTTATTATTTCAAGTAGTTTTTTACTTGATTCTCTAGGATTCTCTAAGTATATCACCATGTCATCTGGAAAGAGTGATAGCTTTGTTTCTTCTTTGCCTATTCTAATGCCTTCAATTTCTTTTTCTTCTCTTATTGCTAAAGCTAAGGTTTCCAGTACAATATTGAATAACAGTGGTAATAATGGACATCCTTATTTCACCCCCGATCTTATTGGAAATGCTTCTAGCCTGTCCCCATTACATATAATGCTTGCTGAAGGTTTTAGATATATGCTATTTATTATTTTAAGGAAGACTCCATTTATACCTATGCTTTCTCGTGTTTTTAATAGGAATGGGTGTTGTATTTTATCAAAAGTTTTTTCTGCATCTATTGAGATGATCATGTGGTTTCTGTTGGTTTTGTTATTGAAATGTTCAATGATGTTGATAGTTTTCCTAATATTGAATATTGATTCTAATTCTTGCTTACAACATCACTAATGTGAAAATATGTTTAATAGGAATGTATATGTATAGACTGTATCAGATTGTGTGCAGTCTTGGGGAGGGTTGTGGGGGAGGAAGGGGAAGAAAAATTTGAAACTCAAAAGTACATGGAAGTGATTGTTGATAAATCAAAATAAATTAATTGAAAAAGATACCCACTAAGTTAATTTATATTTCATGAAACCGTTTACCTTTCTCACTTATAAGACCATACAGGTCAATCCCAAAATTATGCTAAGCATGTTTTTTACACATTTGAAATGAAAAGAAATATGATTGACATAATATTAATGAGAAAATGACATCTTAATTCATGTGTAAAAGTGATTAGTAATTTGTAGGTTGGTGTAAACACCATTTTTATTTATATTTTTAATGTTAATTTTAATTAAACTTAAATTTGTAATATCTATGATATTATTCATGGTAATAATAGTTGATTGTTAACAGTAAAAGAAGTCCATGATAACTGCTATCTTTTTTTAGAAAAGTTGCCACTATGTATAGGCTAAAATAAAAAAAAAAAGATTAATAGTTTCCTTGTTCTAGGACAATGAAGAGCACAGTTCAGTGTGGGCCATGCAGGGAAAGACCAGGCCTCAGCAAACCTGGAGGAGGCCTTAGGGGACTGAATCACCAGCAGCTGTGGTGATTTCCAGATGTCTCAACCCACAAACACCAAAGACAACTTAGCAGGTCAGTAGGAAAGGTCTGTTGGACCTTGTTGAGAGAGGAAGGTGGTCAAGCCCTGGCCCTAGTGCAGCTCCAGGACGGTGGCTGCTTCTGGAGCTCTTGTCCCACAGACAGTGGCGGGGGTGAGATCAAGTAGCAGATCAGAGGGGAATTTCAGGGATCTCTTTGCTGGCATTGAGAAGGATTCTCTTGCTTTGTCATTGCTTGGATCTGGGTCACAGTTCTGGGTGGTGGTCCTGGGTGTTAGGAGGAGTGTTGGCGTGGTGGAGCTTGTGGTGATGGTGCAAAGAGAATCCTCCTCACAGTTGCAAGGCAGAAAAGAGTTATTGTGATCATGCATAGACCAGAGCACAGGCCAGGAAAGGAGTAAATATATCACCTTTGATAGTATAACCTTGGAAGAACTGAAAATTTACAGTTCCCTAGAAGTGCCTCTGAAAACATCTGCACAAAATCCCCAAAGCTTGGGACAGTACATTATCCACACTGGAAGCAGACCCCTACCTTAACAAAGAATTTAAAACTCAAGTAATTAGCTGGGAACAATTAGGGGAATTGTGTGAAAACTTCATTGTATTGTTTGAATCTAGGCCTGTATGGAAGGGAAACTGGACCATCTCTATGTGTTGTTTAGAGATCCTGGACCACGGACCTATATTATGATGACCAGAAACTCAGATACAAAAATTGATACAAGGAGTTTTCTCACAATTGTCAATCCATATGTCTTCTAAGGGCCCCTACCAGGTCCTTCTTACTACTCCCACAGCTGTCAAACTTGGGTGTGTACTCCTGCATCATCTTAAGAAAGCCCCTGCATCTTAGTGGATGACAGAACCTTCCAGGTACCTCAAGGTTCATATGATATGGACCCAGAAATAGCTGACATCTAGATGGGACAACTATCCCAAGGTTTTGGACCAGGGCTGAGTATGCTGTCCTACTTTCTTTTTTCTCCTCTTTTCTGCTGTCATGTGCCCAACTATTTTTCTATTTCTTTCTTTGGTTCTTTCTTTCTCTTCCTCCCTCCTTCCTCCCTCATTCCTTCTTTCCTCTCTCCCTCCCTTCCTTCTTTCTCTTTCCTTTCTTTCTTTCATCTTTTCTTTAATTCTTTCTCTCTTTCTTAAAATCTTCATGCACAAAATGACTAATAAAGAAATGTTTTACATGATCACACATGTACAACTTATGTCAGATAGCTTACCTTCTCAGGGAGGATAAAGGGAAGGGAAGGTGGGATAGAATTTAAAATTCAAAGCTTAAAAAAAGCCAAAGAGTGTGAAAATTGTTTCTACATGTAACCGGGGAAAATGAAACATGTATTTTTAAAAAATCAATCTTCATTTCTGGGGTCAGAAAGAAAATCTAAAATTTCCCACCTATATTACAGGCTGCTCTTCCTTTCCTGTTCAACTCTGGGCCCAATCCATGCACCATATTGTCTGTCCCAGATATGCATATTGATGAACAATCTGTGTAGGCTGTATTTCTAAATGAATGTCATATCCTGGGAAATACACAGGCTTTCCAAACTGTATGCAATGTGTAGACAGTGAAGCCAAACTCTTTTTGAAAGGCTATACATCTCTCCTAGAAAGCTCTGTAGAGTTCTAGAGTTAGATGTAAATAGCACAATGTGATCCACAAACAGGTGCTTGTGGTGCTGAAAGACCTCACCAACTCTAGGAGATACCACTAGCAAAGGGACTAAGCTTCCTTTTATGGATTGGAGAGCGTGCAATTCTTGCTTTAGGCAATCAGATAACAAACAATCAGTAAAGTAAAATTGTAATGCAAACTTTATCATTAAGTCAATTGCAAATCAGGATCAATGTGTTGCATTGCTGAGCAACCATTAGCAAAGCCTTATTGTTTCCAGATATAACTGGGTATTCAGGCTGATTTATCTGTGGGCAGAAGTTTCAAAGTTCTGAAACCTGTGTCAATTCATGGAACTGAAGTCGTTGGAGAGAAAGTATTACTTTCTCCTTGCCTTATTATAGAGATTTGCTTACTTGCAGAGGGACAAACCCATTTGGAAAGAAGCACACTTAAAGCAGCATGCAAAGTTTATTCAGAGTTCAATTTTGGAGTGGATCGTGCATGGCAGTGGCTAAGGTAGGAAATGGGAAGGAAGGGGAAGAGACACAAAGAAGTAGAAGGAGAGAGAAAGAGAAAGAGACAGATGCATGAAGAGAGAGGGAGGGAAATAAAAAGATGAACTAGAGATTAAGAGACAAATAGAGATAGACAGAGATGGAGAGGAATGGACACAGAGATGGGTACAGAGACAGACAGTAAAACAGAGGAAGACACAGAGACAGAGATGGGGATAAGGGAGAAGGAAAGAAAAAAAAAACAATCTGCTGGGGGTAGCTGTAATCCACAAAGACTGCCAGGTTATGCCCCTTATTTTAATTCAGAAAAAGTACAGGGACGATTTAACTGCTTCACACTCGCTTCCTTATTTCTGCAGCTATCAGGCATCTTGTGCCTGATTTTAAGCTGCCTTATGCTAATCCTCAATGCCCACATAATTTGATCTCCTCCAGCACAAATCTATTCTTCCAGGTAATCTTGGACTCTCATATGACAGTCCCAGGTGTTGTTATGATGGAGGAAGGAATAGTACTAAGAGAACTAAGATCCCAATTGGAGCAAGGGGATAGCTGTCCTGTATTTGAACGTAAAAGCAATTTGTCCTAATGACCTTTGCAGATTGATCCCCAAACCAAAATATCATTTTAAATCACTCAACCTTAACTTTACACCTGAGATACCCAGAAAGCCTTGTTTCACTCCCTACCTTTGATTTCCTGCCTTACTTGACCTCTTTTTCCCCCTGGAATTATATCCCCCAGTATTATTTTAGGCACAATCTCCAGTAGAATCTTGTACCCAACAGCCCTAACACCCTGTGTACAACTTTGGTTATAGCCCAATACAATATATACATAAAATCAGTATACATATACATACATAAGTACATAATGCATATATGCATACATACACACACACACACACACTATACTGGTACATGTACACACACACACACACACACACACACACACACACACACACCCCACCCCACCCCCCACCTACATCACCACTACAAACCATTGTATCCAGACAAGACAAAGGATTTCAGTTCATCAAAGAAATAAGATGACAAATATTTTTTCTATAGATTACACTTCTCATCATATGTTGGGATCTAAGGTGCCATGCCATGGGTACTTATTTCAGGATATTCCTCTGGTCTTCTTTGGTATTATATAACCTCTTGCTCAGACAATGATTTTCCTGTGGATTTTAGGTGACTGTACAAGAATAACCTGTTGGTTTTTCCATATCAATAGACATAAGTTTCCTGCAGAAACTCACCCCTCTGACTGGAGATCTCCCCTTCTGGGCATGGGGAACAGTCAAAGCAGCAGGCAGCTTGCTCCTCCAAAGGGATCTTCCTGAATCCAGCATGACAACTGTCACTGCATACTCCACGTGGCACCTAAGACAGTAATAGGGGAGTGGAATGCACATCTTTAACTGAGAGATGAGGTTTGGGGCAGAAAAAGAAGCTTATTTGCTACGTACCCTGTTTCAGTAGACATTCCCACAGAAGGCTAAGTGGTAGTGTAGTTAGATTGCTTAACCTGGAGTCAGGAAGACATGAATTAAAATGCAGTATTATATATTAACTGTTTGCCCCTGGGCAAGTCACATAATCTCTGTCTGCCTTGGTTTACCACATTTTCAAATGGGATTAACAGTAGTACTTACCTCACAGGGCTGAAGGGAAGATGAAATGATATAATATTTAGAAACCACCTGGTGCACATTAGATGCTTAATAAGTAGCTCTTCCCTTTCCCCTTCCCTTCATATATTTTTAAGAGAGAGAAGATTCCTGTTGAGAGTTGTGGTTTTACCGTTATTTTGGAGAAGCTATCATCTGTAATGCTTAGAAGGAGACTAAACACATAGATTAAATACTAAAAAGATTTCCCTGGAAGACTGATTAAGGAAGCTCTTCTTGCCAAAAAAAAAAAAACCCAACACCTTTTTGAGAAGATACTTTAAATATACTAAGAGAGGTGAGTGGTGGGAAAGTATTCCAGAGCTGAGAAGTCAGCAGTTGCCATTGACATTTATTAGTGACTGTTTATGAGCTTTCAACATTGTTAAAGTATTTAAATATATGTTAATATTGCTTTTTTTTTGTAATTAACTACATAGCCAGTGACATTGATCTACATCGAATTCTGTAGTGCTTCAAGCAATGAAGGAGAGAGAGAGAGAGAAAGAGAGAGAGAGAGAGAGAGAGAGAGAGAGAGAGAGAGAGAGAGAGAGAGAGAGAGAGAGAGAGAGAAGGTATTCCAGCAAGCCAGTGGGAAGGTCAACCTCAACAAACCAGTAAGAAGTTCTAAGGCCCAAGATAGTGGAGCAGGCAAGCATCAACACAATGCACACACCAACCACCACCACAAGCTCCAGCTCAGCATTGGTAAGCTACTGGACACTTATAGTCTCCACCTGCCATCACCTGATGCCCCAGCACACAAAACCAGTAACCAGGCACCTAGCACCCAGCACAAGAAGCCCATAACAGTGCCCTCTGAGCCGCAACAACTTTAAAAATCAGAAAAAATGCAAACAACATGAACAAAAGGCAGCAAAGAAAAACAAAGACCATAGATTCTTACTATGGGGACAGAGAAGATCAAAACACAAATTCAGGAGAGGACAAAAATGTCACTATACCCATATCTGAAACCTTAAAGTGGAGTATGAACTGGTCTCAAGACCAAAAAGCCTTCTTGGAGAGCTCATGAAGGATTTTAAAAGTCAAATAAAAAAGATAAAAGAAAAATTGAACAATTATTTTAAAAATGCAGTCAACAAAATGGAAAAAAAGTAAACTGAAGAAAAGAACTCCCTAAAAAGTAGAACTGGCCAAATGGAAAAGGAGGTACAAAAGCTACTTGAAGAAAATAATTCATTAAAAATTAGAATTGGGCAATTGGAAGCTAATGACTCTATGAGACATCAAAATCAGTCAGACAGAAACAACAGAACGAAAAAAATAGAAGAAAACATAAAATACCTCAGTGGAAAAACAACTGACCTGGAAAATAGATCCAGGAGAGACAATTTAAAAGTTATTGGTCTACCTGAAATCCATGGTCAAAAAGAGAGCTTGGACAACATTTTTCAAGAAATCATCAATGAAAATTACCCAGAGGTCTTAGAACCAGAGGGCAAAATAGTCATTGAAAGAATCCACCAACCACCTCCTGAAAAAGATCCCAAATTGAAAATGCCAAGGAATATTGTAGCCAAATTCCAGAAGTATTAGGTCAAAGAGAAAATACTGCAAGCAGCCAGAAAGAAACAATTCAAATATCGTGGAACCACAGTCAGGATTATGCAGGACCTTGCAGATTCTGCATTAAAAGATTGGAGGGCTTGGAAGTTGATATTTCACAAGACAAACGAGCTTGGATTACAACCAAGGATCAACTACCCAGTGAAATTGAACATAATCTTTCTGGGGAAGAGATGGATATTCAATGAAATAGGGAACTTCCAGATTTTCCTGAAGAAAAGACCAGAGCTGAACAGAAAATTTGGTCTTCAAATACAAGACTCAAAGAAGGCATAAAAAGGTAAAGCAGAAAGGGAAAATAAAAACATGATATTCATTAAGGGCAAACTGTTTACCTCCCTATGTGGGAAGATACTAATAACTCTTGAGAACTGTATCTTTATTATGACATTTAGAATATATATATATATATATATGTGTGTGTGTGTATGTGTATGTATGTATACACACACATAGACAGAGAGTGTGGGTATAAGCTGACTTTGATGTGATGTTAAAAAAACTAATTAAGTGTCGAAAAGGGATTTTAATGGGAGAATAAGACAGAAAGATGCAGAAAATGGTAAATTAGATCACATGGGAAGGCACAAAGACATATTACAGTAGAGAGAAATAAGGGAGAGAGATGAGCATTGAACCTTATTTTCATCAGATTTGGCTCAAGAAGGGAATATATATTTCTGTATTCATATATAGACATCTAACTTCCCCCTTGCAGTAGGAGGGCAAGGGGGAATGAAAATCGAGTGGGGAGAAGGGAGGGAAAAAGTAGTAAGAGAAAAGAGAAAGAAAAAGGAATGGGTTGATAGAAGGGAGGGCAGATTGAGGGAGGCACTGGTCAAAAGCAAAAATCTAGTGAAGTGGAAAAGGAAGGAGAAAAAAACATAAACATAGGGGGATGAGATGGAGAGAAATATACAGATAATAATCATAATAAGTGTGAATGGGATGAACTCCCTATAAAATGGAAACAGATAGCAAAATGGATGAAAAGCCATAATCCTACTATTTGTTGTTTACAAGAAACACATTTGAAACAGAGGGATACCCATAGGGTAAAGGTAAAAGGCTGGAGTAGAATATATTATGCTTTGGCTGAAGTAAACAAAACAAAACAAAACAGGGGTAGTAATCCTTATCTCAGACAGCAAAAGCAAAAATAGACCTAATTAAAAGAGATAAGGAAGGAAACTATCTGCTAAAAGGCATCATAGACAATGAAGTAATATCATTACTAAACATATATGTACCAAGTGGTATATCACACAGATTCTTACAAAGCAAGTTAAGCGAGTTACAGGAAGAAATAAAGAGCAAAACTATACTAGTGTGGGACCTCAACCTCCCCCTCTCTGAACTAGATAAATCTAACCACAAAGTAAACAATAAAGAAGTTAAGGAGTGAATATAATTTTAGAAAATTTAGATATGGTAGAACTCTGAAGAAAATTGAATGGAGATAGAAAGGAATATAACATTTTCTTGGCAGTACATGGCACCTACACAAAAATTAATCATGTACTAGGGAATAAAAACCTCACAATCCAATGCAGAAAAGCAGAAATATTAAATGCATTCTTTTTAGATCATGATGCAATAAAATTATATGCAATAAATGATCATGGAACAATAGACCAAAAATCATTTTGAAACTAAATAATCTAATCCTAAAGAATGAGTGAGTCAAACAACAAATCGTAGAAACAATAACTAACTTCATCTAAGAGCATGACAATAATGAGACAGCATACCAAAACTTATGTCATGCAGCTAAAGTGGTTCTTAGGGGAAGTTTCATGTCTCTAAATGCTTACATGAATAAAATAGAGAAAGAGGACATCAGTGAATTGGGCATGCAACTGAAAAAGCTAGAAAAAGAACAAATTAAAAATCCCCAATTAAATACTAATTTGGAAATATTGAAAACCAACGGAGAGATTAAGAAAATTGAAATTAAGAAAACTATTGAACCAATAAATAAAAATGAAAAGCTGGTTTTATGAAAAAAATGAAACAGATGAACTTTTGGTTGATTTGATTTAAAAAAAATAATAAAAATCAGATTACCAGTATCAAAAGTGAAAAGAGTGAATTCACCACCAATGAAGAGGAAATTAAAACAATAATTGGGAGATATTTTGCCCAAATGTACCATTAAATTTGACAATCTTAGTGAAATGGATGAATATTTACAAAAATATAAATTTCTTAAATTAATAGAAAAAGAAATGAAATACATAAACAATCCCACTTCAAAAAAAAAAAAAAAAATTGAACAAGACATCAATGAACTTTTTAGAAAAAAAAAATCTCCAGGGCTAGTAGATTTACAAGTGAATTCTATCAAACATTTAAAGAACAATTAATTCCAAAACTATGTAGACTATTTGGGAAAATAAGTGAAGAAAGAATCCTACCAAATTCTTTTTATGATACAAATGTGGTGCTGTTACCTAAACTGGGACTAGTCAAAACAGAGAAAGAACATTATAGATCAATTTTCCTAATGAACATAGATATAAAAATTTTAAATAAAATATTAGAAAAGAGATTATAGCAACATATCACTGAATAATATATTATGACCAAAAAGGATTTATACCAGGAATGCAGGGTTGGGTCAATATTAGGAAAACTATCAGCATAGTTGACCATATCAACAACAAAACTAACAGAAATTATATGACTATCTCAATAGAAGCAGAAAAAAAATTTGACAAAATACAACACTCATTCCTATTAAAATCACTAAAGAGCATAGGAATAAGTGGAGTCTTCCTTAGAATGATAGACAGCATCTATCAAAAACCATCAGCAAGCATTATATGCAATGAAGATAAGCTAGAACCACTTCCAATGAGATGGGGAGTGAAACAAGGATGTCCATTATCACTACTGTTATTCAATATAATACTAGAAATGTTTGTTAGCTTTAGCAATAATAGAAGAAAAAGAAATTGAAGAAATTAGAATAGGCACAAGAGAAACAAAGCTGTCACTCTTTGCAGATGATATGATGATATACTTAGAAAAAGAGAATCAAGTGAAAAAAAACTTCTTGAAATAGTACACAACTTTAGCAAACTTGCAGGATATAAAGTAAACCCACATAAATCATTGAAATTTCTGTATGTTATTAAAAAAGCCCAACAGCAAGAGAGAGAAAGAGAAATTCCATTTAAAGTTACTGTAGACATTGTAAAATATTTGGGAGTCTACCTGCCAAGATTAACCCAAGAACTATATGAACACAATTGCAAAATGTTTTTCACACAAATAAAGTCAAATCTAAATAATTGGAGATACATCAGTTGCTCATGAGTAGGCCGAGCCAATATAATAACAATAACAGTTCTACCTAAATTAATATACTTATTCAGTGCCATACCAATCCAACTACCAAACATCATTTTATAGAGTTAGAAAAAATAATTTGAAAAATTAATCTGGAGGAACAAAATGTCCAGAATACCAAAGGAATTAATGAAAAGAAATGCTAGGGAAGTTGCTGTAGCCATACCAGATCTTAAATTGTAATATAAAGCAGAAATCATCAAAACTACTTGGTACTAACTAAGAAATGGAGTGGTGGATCAATGGAGTAGATTAAGTACACAAGATACAGAAGACAATGCCTATAGTAATCTACTGTTTGATAAATCCAAAGACTCCATATTCTGTGATAAAAACTCAAGAACAGCTAGGAAAACTGGAAAATCATACGGCAGAAACTAGGCATAGACCAATATCTTACACTGTTTACCAAAATAAAGTCAAAATGGGTCCATGATGTAGATATGAAAGCTAAATACTATAATCAGACTGGGAGAGCAAGGAATGGTTTACCTGTTGGATTTATGGAGAATGGAAGAATTTATGAGCAAACAAAAGATATAGAATATTATGAACTTCAACATGGAAAATTTTGATTACAATAAATTGAAAAGTTTTTTCACAAACAAAGCCAATGTAACCAAGATTAGGAGGCAAGGAGAAAACTAGGAAAGAATTTTTACAACCAGTATCTCTGATGAAGGCCTCATTTCTAAAATATACAGAGAAATGAGTCAAATTTATAGGAATGCAAATCATTCCCAATTGATAAATGGTCAAAGCATATGAACAGGCAGTTTTCAGATGAAGAAATTAAAGCTATCTGTACTCTTATGAAAAATGCTCTATTACCATTGATTAGAGAAGTGAAAATCAAAACAACTCTGAGGTACCACATCACACCTATCAAATTGATTAACATGACAAAACAGGAAAATTATAAATGTTGGAAGAGATGTGGGAAAATTGGAACACTGATGCATTGTTGGTGGAGTTGTGAAATGATCCAACCATTTTGGAGAGCAATTTGGAACTGTGCCCAAAGGACCATGAAACTGTGCTTACATTTGACCCACAAAGAGATAATTCAAATGTGATAAGGACCCACATGTATAAAATATTTAAAGCAGCTCTTTTTGTGGTGTCAAAGAATTGGAAATTGATTGGATGTTCATCGGCTGGGGAATGGCTAAACAAGTTGTGGTACATGAATGTAATGGAATAATATTGTGCTATAAGAAATGATGAGCAGGAAGATTTCAGAAAAAAAAACCTAGAAAGACTTATGTGAAATGTTCTGAGTGAAGTCAGTAGAACCAGGAGAGGATTGCACACAGTAACAGCCACAACGTGTGATGACTAACTTTGATAGACTAACCCTTATCAATGCAAGGATACAAGACAATTCCAAAGGACTCATGATGGAAAATGCTGTCCACGTCTAGAAAAAAGAACTGTGGAATCTGAATGCAGAATGAAGCATATTATTTGCTCTCTTTCTCTCTTTTTTTGTTGATTTCTTCTTTCTCATGGTTTCCACCTTTGGTTCTAATTCTTCTTTACAACATGACTAATGTGAAAATAGGTTTATTATGAATGTGTATGTAGAGCCAATATCAAATTCTATGCCATCCTGGAGTTGGGCGGAGGGAAGAGATGGGAAGAAAATTTGGAACTCAAAATCTTATGGATCTGAGTGTTGAAAACTAAAAATAAAGAAAAAAAGAAAATGGAAGAATATAATAAGAGAGAATGAGAAATTAGAGAGAAGGTAGATTAAAAGAGGGATAAGGCCTAAGCAAAATAACTGTAACTAAGAATGTATAAAAAAATCTCTTTTTAAGTGGCAATGAGAATCTAAGATAGTGCCCATAAATTGAAGAGTGGCTGAATGAATTATTATACACAGACATACATGTACATGTGTGTATATGTTTATATTTGTGTAGGTATATGTATATATTATGAAATACTATTGTGTTGCAAGAAATGATGATGGGGAGTGTTTCAGAGAAACCAGTGAAACATGTTGATTCATACTGATGCTGACTGAAGTGAACAAAACAAGGGAAACGAATTCTACAAAAACAATGATATGATAAAAAAACAACTTTGAAAGAATTAAGAACTCTGATTAGTGTAAAAACCAATCACAAATCCAGAGGATTAAAGGTGAAATGCATTACCTACTTCCTGATAGAGAGGTGAAGGACCCAGAATACAAAACAAGACATATTTTTATAAATAGCCAATGTGGAAATTTGTTTTCACTGACTATACCTGGGGTTTTGGTCTTTTTTCATTCTCAGTTGGGAGGAAGGAAGAGCTGGAGTGGGATGTAGAAAATGTTAGTTTTGGATGATCAAAAATCATATCTATCTATCTGTCTACAGTACATACATGTGTGCTTACACATAAACAAAAACACATGTATATGCATGCATTATATATACCTCCCTAAGCATCAGTTTCCTCAATTATAAAATGGAGGGCGGTGGACTAAATGGCCTGTGAGTGAGTTCTCTTTGTTATCTAGATCTGTAATCTTACTTTTAGTCATTATATTTCTTCTGTTCATAAAATTACACACACACACACACACACACACACACACACACACACAATGTAGAGTAAACCAAATAGGATAAGAATTGTTCTTGTGATTAGAAGTGTAAAGTTGGCATTTAAACCATCTGTGACCCTTGAATCCCACCAGCCCCACACTACGGCATCTGCACAAATTGTGAAATCTTGATGAAGTGGAGCTTTGGGGACAAATTGCCCCACATTCACCAGAGCATCAGTCTCATTAGGAAAGAACACGTAATTCATAATGGTGCATCGAGCCTCAGAGCGTCTATTCCATTCCACAAACACCTGGTCACCAGCACTGTTGTTAAATTGGGCGTTCTTCAGGTAGGAGTGCAGCTAAAAGGGAAGAGAAATCCTCATCACTGGGTGGTGCTTGAGGGAAGGACTCCCTTATGTGGGAGACACTAGGCTTGTTTTATAGTCTTATGAAGTTTTGTATTTTTCTCTGGGGATGTGATTAAAATCTGGCTTTCTCTAGGGATACATAGCAATGAACCTCTGGAACCCAGAAAGTTGCTTATATCCCCCAGGTTCATAACCTCAGTTTTATCCTTGACTCCTCACTATCTCTCATACCCTTTATCTAATATGTTACCAATGCCTACTAACTGCATTTCTGCAACATCTCTCAAATATGCCTCCTCCTCTCCTCTAATGTAGCCACAATCTCATTACATCACACATGGCTTATTGCAATAGCCCACTGGTGGCTCTGTCACTAGCCTCTCTTCATTCCAGTCAAACCTCAAGTTGGTCACCAAAATCATTCTTCTAAAGTGCAGATCTGAACCTGTAATTCCCATACTTCATAAACTCTAGTGGCTCTCTATCAAGGCAAAATACAAAATTTTCTGTGCGGCATTCAAAGCACTTCACATACTAAGTCCCAGCCACCCACCCATTTTCCACTCATCTTGTACTTCGCACAACTCCTCCTCACCTACTCTTTAATTCAGTGACACTGGCCTTCTTTCTGTTGCATGAACAAGACACTCTATCTCTTGGCTCCTAGGCAGACATTTTCTCTGGCTGTTCTCCCTTCCTCGAGTTTTCTCCCTCTTCATTTCTTAGCTTCTCTGCTTTCCTTCGAATCTCAGCCAAAATCCTATCTTCTAAAGGAAGCCTTTCCCAATTCATTTTAAAAGCTATCTTTCCTCTGCTAATTATTTCCTATTTATCCTATATAAAACTGCCACACATTAGTTTTCTTAGTTACCTTTCCCATTAGATGGTTAGCTCCTCAAGAACAAGGATTCCCTTTAGTAAAGTGTCTAGCACATAGAAGGCACCTAAATATTTACTGACTGATTACACACTGTCATTCCCCAGAACAGGGCTTCACTTACGGTGCTCAAAAACTGAAGAGGGTGCCCATTCTATCACTCAGTGTTGTGGTCACATTGCCATCCTTCTAAATAGAAAAGATGCTCCTTGTTGAACAGCACTCACATTAAGTCAAGGTGATCCCCAGTGATCAGAGAAAGACCTGAGACATATGCATCTCCATATATTTCTGTTTTCCCTCTACAGGATAGGAGTCTGTGTAGGCCCAATTCCTCTTGGAGGAATTGATTGTAGGAGGTATGAAGAAAATGAAAACTGACTATATCATTGACCAATAAGCATACACACACATATGTGTGTGAAGAGTGTGTGTGTGTGTGTGTGCGCATACATGTATATGTGTATATACACTCTAAGATTTCTATAGAAATGATAGCCATCTGTGACTTTCTTTTCTAACACATACCTAAAATACTTCCCATTGCAAAACACCAAAAAAAAAAAATCTGCCATCCAGTCTCTGCTTGAATCAGTCAACATTTCTAAAACACATACTAGATGAAACAAATTGTGCTAGGTGCTGTGCTATAAGCCCTGCAAGAAAATGGATCCTACTACCCACGGACCATGCAGCTTTTGGGCCAGCTACAGTTGGATCCATGCTTGTCCAGAAATCATACATATGTACACTTCCATACACCTACCACTCTCTGTTCCTGTTTTTCCCCTCTTGGGAAAAATGAGTAAGTTTAATCTTACTTCCACATGAAAGTCCTTCATGACCAACTCCTTTGAATGTTCTCTTCACCAGGCTAAGGTTTCCCCAATCTTTCAACTGATCATCATGTCATATGGAGACAGAATTCCCTTCACCTGTCAGTGTTCTAGTAGACATTTACTAGCTGCTAACATCCTTTACAAACTGAGGCTGCCAAAACTGAATACAAGCCTTCAGATACAGGAAAATATCTTTCTTATTCACAGACTCTGTGCCTCAGTTAATGTTTAATATTCTCTAGCTTTCATGGCTATCACATCTCATCTCTGTATCACATTGACCCACTTGCACTCCACGAAATACTTTTCAATACTGTAGTTCTCCAATCTCACATTTTCAAATGCTTTTGAGGCTTCCCCCCCCCCCAGGATATCCAGTAGACATTTAAAAATTAGCATGTCCAAAACAGAGCTCATTAACTCACCAACCCCTTCTTACCTTCCCTGTCATTGTAGAATGCAACACCATCTTTCCAGACCCTCAAGCTCACACCCTAGGGGTTATACTTGGTCTTCAATATCTCTCACCATTCCCCATATTAAATATGTTGTCAAGGCCTGTTTATTTGACCTTTACAACCTCTCTTCCACATGCTCCTTTCTTTTCTCTAACACTGTTACCAGCCTGCTGCAACTCCAAGGGATCTCAACCTCCCCCACTCTGAACTATATTAATCTAACCACAAAATAAACAAGAAATACATTAAGAAGGTGAATAGAATTTTTGAAAAGTTGGATATGGTAGACCTCTGGAGAAATTTTAATGAGAATAGAAAGGAATATACTTTTTTCTTGGCAGTACATGGCATGTACTAGGGCACAAAAACCTCACAATCCAATGCAGAAAGGCAGAAATACTAAATGCATCCTTTTCAGATCATGATGCAATAAAAATTTTATGTAATAAAGGGCCATGAAAAGATAGACTAAAAATTCATTGGAAACTAAATAATCTAATCCTAAAGAATGAATGGGAAAAACAACAAATCATAGAAACAATCAATAACTTCATTCAAGACAATGACAATAATGAGACAACATACCAAACTTTTGGGATGCAGCAAAAGCAGTTCTTAGGGGGAGTTTTATATCTCTAAATGCTTATATGAATAAAATAGAGAAAGAGGAAATCAATGAATTGGTAATGCAACTAAAAAAGGACTAGAAAAAGAACAACTTAAAAATCTGCAATTAAATACCAAATTATAAATACTGAAAACCATAGGAGAAATTAATAAAAATTGAAATTAAGAAAACTATTGAACTAATACATAAAACAAAGATCTGGTTTTATGAAAAAAAAAACAATAAAATAGGTAAACCTTTGGTCAATTTAATTAAAACAAAAAGAAGAAAACCAAATTACCGGTATCAAAAATGAAAAGGGAGAATCCACCACCAAGGAAGAGGAAATTAAAACTATAATTAGGAACTATTTTGCCCAACTGTATGCCAATGAATTTGACAATATTAGTAAAATAGATGAATATTTACAAAAATATAAGTTGCCCAGATTAACACAAGAGGAAGTAAAATATTGAAATAATCCCACCTGAGAAAAAGAAATTGAACAAGCCATTGATGAACTCCATAGGAAAAAATCTCCAGGGCCACATGGATTTATATGGGAATTTTTCAAACATTTAAAGAACAATTAATTCCAATACCATATAGACTATTTGGGAAAATAGGCAAAGAAGGAGTCTCACCAAATTCTTTTTATGATATAATATGGAGTTGATACCTAAACTGGAAAGAGTCAAAACAGAGAAAGAAAATTATAGACCAATTTCCCTAATTAATATAGATGCAAATAAACAAATTAAATAAAACATTAGCAAATAGATTATAGTAACTTATCACAAGAATAATACACCATGACCAGGTAGGATTTATACCAGGAATGTAAGACTGTTTCAATATTAGGAAAACTGTCAGCATATTTGATCATATCAACACCAAAACTAACAGAAACCACATGATCATCTCAATAGATGCAGAAAAAGCTTTTGACAAAATACAACACCTGTTCTTATTAAAAACACTAGAGAGCATAGGAATAAATGGTCTTCCTTAAAATGATAGATAGCATTTATCAAAAACCTTCAGCAAGCATCATATGTAACAGAGACAAGCTAGAAGCATTTCCAATATGATTGGGGGTGAAACATGGATGAAACACACAAATAAAGTCAGGTCTAGATAATTGCAAAAACATCAGTTGCTCATGGGTAGGCTGAGCTAATACAATAAAATGACAATTCTACCTAAGCTAATTTACTTATTCAGTGGCATAGCAATGAAACTTCCAAAAATATTTTATAGAGATAGAAAAAATAATAACAAGATTCATTTGGAAGAACAAAAGATCCAGAATATCAAGGGAACTAATGAAAAGAAATGCAGGGGAAGGTGGCCTAGCCATTCCAGATCTTCAATTGTGTTATAAAGCAGCAATCATCAAAACTATTGGTATGGTTAAGAGATAGAGTAGTGGATCAGTGGAATAGGTTAGGTATGCAAGACACAGCAGTCAATGACTATAGTAACCTGCTATTTGATAAACCCGAAGACCTCAGCTTCTGGGATAAGAACTCATTCTTTAACAAAAACTGCTGGGAAAACTGGAAAAAAAAAGTATGGCAGAAACTAGGCATTGATCAAAATCTCACAACATATACCAAAATAAAGTCAAAATGGGTTTATGATTTAGATATAAAGGCTGGTACTATAAGCAAACTGAGAGAGCAAGGAATAGTTTCCCTGTCAGATTTATAGAGAACAGAAGAATTTATATCCAAATAGAAGATAAAAAACATTATGAAATGCAAAATGGGTAATGTTGATTACATTAAATTGAAAAGTTTTCCAATGTGACCAAGATTATGAGCCAAGCAAAAAACTGGGACAGAATTTTTACAACCAGTGTCTCTTATAACGGCCTCATTTCTAAAATATGTAGGGAACTAAGTCACATTTATAGGAGTTCAAGTCATTCCCCAATTGATAAATGGTCAAAGGATATGAACAGGCAGTTCTCAGGTGAAGAAATTAAAACTATCTATGGTCATATGAAAAAATGCTCTAAATCATTATTGATTAGAGGAATGCAAATCAAAACAACTCTGAGGTACCACATCACCCCTATCAGATTGGCCAAAGTGACAAAATAGGTTAATGATAAATTTTGGAGGAAATGTGGGAAAACTGGAACCCTAATGCATTGTTGGTGGAGTTGTGAAATGATTCAACCATTTTGGAGAGCATTTTTGAAGTATGCCCAAAGGGCTATAAAATGTACATGCCCTTTGACCCAACAATAGAATTTCTAGGTCTGTATCCCAAAGAGATCATACAAATGGGAAAAGGACCCACATATGCAAAATTGTTTATAGCATCTCTTTTTGTGGTGGCAAAGAATTAGAAATTGAGTGGATGCCCATCAATAAGGGAATGGCTGAACAAGGTGTGGTATATGAATTTAATGAAATACTATTGCAGTATAAGAAATGATGAGCAGGTGGACTTCAGAAAAACTTGGAAAGACTTGTGTGGACTGATGCTGAGTGAAGTCAGCAGGACCAGGAGAATGTTGTGCACATTAACAGCCACATCATGCAATGACTAATGTTGATAGACTTAGCCCTTCTCAACAATACAAGGATCTGAGACAGCTCCAAAGGATTCATGACGGAAGATAATGTCCACATCCAAAAAAAGAATTATGGAGTTTGAATGCAGATCAAATCATACTATTTGTAATTTTTTTCCTTCTGTTTTGTTTTGTTTCCTCTTTCTTGTGGTTCCTTCTATTGGTTCTAATTCCTTCTTACAACATGACTTATGTGAAAATATGTTTAATAGAAATGTATATGCATAACCTATATCAGATTGTGTGCCATCTTGGGGAGGGGGAGAAAAATTTTAAACTCAAAATCTTATGAAAGTGGTTGTTGATTAATTAAAATAAATTAATAAAAAATTTAAAAATATTTGCAGTTAATTGGATAACTGGGATGAGAGTTCAGAACTGATTGACAAGAAACTATGCATCATTAGTAATATTTGAGGAACTGTCATAACATGCTCTTGTTTGCTTAAGAACTCAGAATATGATACAATCAAAGGATGTGAGAGTTGAAAGGGACTTCATTATCCATCGTGTCCCCCCACACCCAAAATGTATCCTCATTATACCATAGCTTAGAAGTGGCCACAGATTCAGTATTGCCTTCCAAGAAGGAGGTTCTAAATAGTCTTCGTATTCCATTAGCTTTTGCTGTGATTTTCTCATAAGCATTTCATGGAGAGCCCAAGCCACAGCATAGACAGTATTGTAGATAACATAACTCAACCCAGATGTGGCTATATCAAAGGAGCGCAAAGGCAAAGTTTCCAAGGATACATTTGGTGAACATATCTCTTGCTTTGGATTTTCTGGTTGATCTGGACATCTAAAAGCTGAGAGCCAGAATCCCTTAAGTAAAATGTTACCTGGGTATTTAGAAGGTGTGACTGTCTTAAGAAAAGTCTTAAACCCAGGAATTTCAGTTGCCAAGTATGAAAATGTGAGAGTCCCATGGACATTATAACCGTCACCATAGAAGGGTCTCCTGGTGACATCCCAGTGAGAAGTGGCGATCCACACCTTCCATGTCGGGAAAAGAGGAACTTGTGGGTATCTCAGAATCATTAATGACTCTGTGTCACCGTGGACGACAGTCACCTTGGTCGATGATGCTAAGATCCTGGGTACGAAGGGGGGGTGTGATTCCATATGTCTTCTCTCACTGACAGGGATCTTCTCTGTGAATGACACACAAATGCCATTCTTTACCATTTCCCCTCTAATTTCCCAGAAGAACTCCTTGCCTCTCATATCATCTGAGGCAATCAGACCTATCCAATTCCATGCAAAATATACCATTAAGCAGACAACACCTTGGTGAAGAGAAGAGTCCTTGGGGACCATCTGATAGAGGGAAGGAAACTGGACCTTGTCACTAAGAATGGAATCAAATGGACCATAGATGATCTAGATGAGAAAGAAATGAGGACCAGTTTGACTTATGGTGATGCTGAGAGAATTGAAGCAAAATTCAAATTCTCAAATGGGCCTTTATATTGATTTTTTTAAAAAAGCAGTCATGTAGATTTCAGTGCATGGTTCATTATAGATTGCATTTTCAGTTTTGAAATTCTCTCTATTTTTTGTTCTGACCCCACAAAAAAGGATGATTTAGTGACGACAGAGTTCTGAAATTCTGTTGGTACCTCTATTGCAACCAGTGTGTCTTCCCTGTGATTCCCAAAGGAACCAGACTATATTCTTACCTCTTTGTTTTCTTGTTGGTCCCCAAAAAATTTCTAGATTAAACCTGTTATATATCATTGAAGGTGGGCAATGGTTTTCTTTTTCTTTCTTTCTTTCTTTCTTTCTTTCTTTCTTTCTTTCTTTCTTTCTTTCTTTCTTTCTTTCTTTTTAGGCAATTGAGGTTAAGTGACTTGCCCAGGGTCACACAGTTAGTAACTGTCAAGTGTTTGGTCTGAGGATGGATTTGAACTCAGGTCCTCCTGACTTCAGGGCCAGGGCTCTATCCACTGCAGAAACTAGTTGCCCTGAATGGTTTTCTTTTTCAAACAAAAGAAAACTCATTAATGGTATTATGTGTGTTCTTGGCTTTGGACAAAATAAAATTCAACTATCCATGTTTTTACTGTATCTAAATGTATTTCAAATAAGAAAATCTAATTGTTTCCTCACTGAAACTGGAATGTAGATTTCTAGTTGTTTAAAAAAAAAGTAATCTGAGAGTATAAATGGAGACTAGTGGAATCTAAATGACCCAATACCCAAAAGGAATTCCCACCATCATGTAGCTGAAAAGCAGGCACCAATCTATGATTGAAAACCCCAAAGAAATATAACCTTACTACCTGTAAAGATAACCCATTCTTCTTCAGGTATAATTGATATAGATGTAACTTCTAGGAAATAAAATATCTTCCTTTCATATAACATAAATTTCACTTTTTTATACCTTCCAACATTTGATATTAGTGCCACCTTCCTACACCACATAGAACAAATATAATTCCTCTAGCACATGTTGCTGTTTTTGTCTAGTTGTTTCGGTTATTTGACTCTTTGTGACTCCTTTTTAGGTTTTTATGGCAGAGATACTGTAGTGGTTTGCCATTTCACTTTCTAGTTCATTTTTTTGTGGCCAGGCAATGAGGTTAAGTGACTTGCCTAGGGTCACACAGCTAGTAACTGTCAAGTGTCTAAGGCCAGATTTGAACTTACGTCCTCCTAACTCCCGGGCTGGTGCTCTGTACATGTGCCACCTTGCTGCCTATCTAGATTATTTTTACAGATGAGGAAACTGAGGCAAACATGGTTAAGGGATTTGCCCAGGGTCACACAGATAGTAAGTGTCTGAGGCCAGATTTGAATTTGGGTATGACTGACTGCAGGCATGGTACTCTATTCAATGTGCCATCTTCTCATGACAGATTTTCAAATATTGGAAAATAGGCATCATTGTCCCTTTGAGCATTTACCTCTCTAGTCTACAGTTTTTTTTTTCAGTTCCTTCAACCAATTCTCATATGACATAAATTCAAGACCCTTGACCATTCAACTCGCCCCTCTCTGAGTTATCAATAACCTCCTCAAAGTGTGGATCCCCAAACCAAACACGATACTCAAGATGAAGTCTCAGTGCAAAATGCAGGGGTAAATCACTTCTTTATTCTTGATATCTACCCTTTTAAAATGCAGCTGGGGATTATGTTAGGATTTGTGGATTCCAAATGACCCACATTGAATGAAAAGATGAATGAATATATAGATGCAAACAAATCTTTATTAAGTGCTTACCCTTTTCCAGGTATTGTGTTAAATGTAGAAATACTAATAATAAAAACCAATACACTTCTTCCTTCCAATAGATTATATTTATTTTGGAGAAGACAATACATACAGTGAAGTATTGCCCAGGAAGAAATATTTTTTGCCTGAGAAGTCACTGGGATGTTGGATATATAAAGCAATTTATTGTCATGTTCTTTCCATGAATAGTAGTATAAATTTGATAATTGTCTCCTAAGCTAGAGGTGAAAAGCAGTGAGTGTTAGGAAGGGAAGAGAAGTATCCAAAATTTAATAGAGTTGGCAAGGTACATTTAGGATCTTGTTTGGGTTAGATATGAAGATGTATCACCTAGGAGAGTTTTATAATTTGCAATTTATTTTTGGAGATGGAGGCTACAAAAATATCCATCGGATAAATACACCTGGCCAGTAGTGTAATTAGTCTGGATGACTACAATATTGAGATTGTAATGCACTAAAATCTGAGATTTTTTTTAACAATACCTGCCCCATTTGGTACCAGAAAAATTATATATATGTATATGTATATGTGTATGTATGTGTGTGTGTGTGTGTGTGTATGCATATGTATATATATCTCCAATAAAATGCTTTAAGTTCATACCAGTTCAATTTTTTTTTAGGTTCAGCACAGCAGTGTAGACCTTCAGGTCCATTTGGACCCTGTCTCTGCCATCTATTGTGTTAATTGTAAGACCGATCTTTATCTCATTTGCCTATTTGATGAGAATACCACCTCCATCTTTATGAGAATCATGAATAAAAATTTTAAACAGCGGAGTGCTAAGAACAGATTTCTCAGATATTTCACTGGTTACTTTCTGTTACGTTAACTTTGGACCACAAAAAAACTATGCTGTGAGTTCAACCAACCATTATTGCTGCTAAGTCTGCATAGTCTCTTCTATCTTGTATATTATCCATCTTCCCACTGTCTACTTAAGAATAGCATCATATGATTTTATTAAACATTTTTGACAAGCTTGAGTTAATTTTTTTTCTTGCCTTCTCTTGAAACTTAAGTAAACTTTATTTTTCATATTTATTCCAAGGCTAAGACTTTTCAGTGTTTGTTAGTGACAATTAAAACTATTCATGACAAAATTTGTATATACTCTTTACATATCATTTTTAACTCTTCATTTTCATGTTCCATTGGTTTGCATATCATTTCCCTCTATAAAACTGTTTTTCTTTTGAAAGGGAAAAATACATAATTCATCCTTGATGAAAAATTTACACTAGGATACATTCTGATCTTATACAAATCATATTTAGGGGAAAAGCATAGATTGTAAAATGACAATTGAATATACAAATCTCCTAGGAAATTTGTTGGTACTTAAGTCTTTTCTAAAACCATTTAATTAGTCTCTGCCTCTATTTTAGCTAGAAGAGAAATGGAAAATTTCATTTTCTAAGAAATGTGCATTTGATATTTTAATGTGATGTATACTATAATAATATGTACTATAGGATCACTTTCCTCTGCAAGAATAGCAATGCTGTCCAAAAAATGAAATAAGAATATTTTTGATTTGACCTATGCTTAATGAAGCCATGTCATAATCATTGATTTCTTTTCTAGATATATACACTATCTGCTTAATGCTCCATTCTTGAATTTTCCCCAGGAATCAAAGTCAGGATCACTAGCATAGCGATTTAAGATTCCATAATCTTTTCTTTTTTTTGAAAATTAGAACATTTATCATTCTTAAATTTTTTGTTATCTCTTTCATTTTCCATTATCACTTAAGAATTAATAAGTTTAAAAAACACTTAGAAATAGCAATTCGTAGTTACTTAAAAGACATGAGATATAAAAATGTTGCAATTATGATGTTTCCAATTCCTGCTCATAGATCCTTACTCAGAGGATATTTGTGCATTACATATTAAGTCAGATGGTTAACAAGAGTCAGATTGATTGTATAAGAAATGGTGGTCTGGGGCAAGGAGTCACTCAACAGAAAACTGGGCCGTAGGGCACAGGTTATTATTTTTTTCCAAACTGAGAGGGAGGCTGTAGCAGACATCGAGAATGTTAGTTGCTTTGAAATTAATCCACGATGCCAGTTGAGATTTTATCTCAAACAGATTGGAAAGTGAAAAAAAAATGCTTATCATTTCCCAAAATGAGGACGTTTGTAAACATGAATGCTATTTTATCTAAGGTCAAATATTATTCTTTTATTCATTTATAATTGTTTATGTTTGAGGTGAGTTGATGGTTTCACTTATAAATAGTAGTACTGTTACAATTGCTGCAAAAAACTTTTCCCCCCCAATTACATGTTAATGTACTTGTTTTTAGTTTTCTACATTTACTTCCACAAGATTTTGAGTTCCAAATTTTCTCTCCATCTTGTCCCTCCCCCACCCCAAGATGGCATGTATTCTGAATACCCTTTCCCTTAATCTGCCCTCCCTTCTATCTCCCCACTCCTTTTTCTTTTCCCTTCCCCCTCAACTTTCCTGTAGGGCAGGATATATTTCTATACCCCATTGCCTGTATATCTTATTTCCAGTTCCATGTGAAAAGAATTTTTTAACATTTGTTTTTAAAACTTTGGGTTCCAAATTTTCTTCCTTCCTCCCTCCTCAACCACCCTCATTGAGAAGGCAAGCAATTCAATATAGGCTATATGTGTGTAGTCATGCAAAACACTTCCATAGTAGTCCTGTTGTAAAAAACAAAGTATATTTCCCTTGATCCTATCTCCCCCTTTATTCTATTCTCTTTTGATCTAGTCCATCCTTAGAAGTGTTTGCTTCTGATTACCCCCTCCCCCAACCTGCCCTCTCTTCTGTCGTCATCTTCCTGCTTTCTTGTCCCCTTCCCCCCTATTTTCCTGTAGGGTAAGATAGATTTCCATACCCAATTGAATGTGTCTGTTATTCCTTCCTTAAGCCAAATCCAATGAGAATAAGATTCACTCATTCCCTCTCACCTTCTTCCACTTCCCCTCCACTGTAAAAGCCTTTTCTTGTCTGTTTTATGTGAGATAATTTACCCCATTCTACTGCTCCCTTTCTCCTCATAGTATAATTCTTTATCACCCCTTAATTTTATCCTCCAGATATTCCCCCCTTCACCTTCAACTCACCCTATGCCCTCTCTCTCTCTCTCTCTCTCTCTCTCTCTCTCTCTCTCTCTCTCTCTCTCTCTCTCTCTCTCCATCTGTCTGTACATACATACATATATACACACAAACATATAATTTTTCCCTTCAAGTACCCTAACATTGACAAAGCTCTCATGAGTTATAAATATCATCTTTCCATGCAGGAATATAAACAGTTCAACTTTAATAAGTCCCTTATGATTTCTCTTTCCTGTTTACCTCTTCATGTTTCACTTGAGTCTTGTAACTGAAAGTCAAATTTTCTGTTCAGCTCTGGTCTTTTCATCAAGAATGCTTTAAAGTCTTCTATTTCACTGAATGTCCATTTCCCCCCCCCGAAAAATTGTACTCACTTTTTCTGGGTAGATAGTTCTTGGTTGTAATCCTATCTCTTTGTCCTCTGGAATATTATAGTCCATGTTCTGCAGTCCCTTAATGTAGAAGCTGCTAAATCTTATGTTATCCTGATTATGTTTCCACAATACTTGAATTGTTTCTGGCTGCTTGCAATATTTTCTCCTTGACCTGCGAACTCTGGAATTGGGCTACAATATTCCTAGGAGTTTTCCTTTGGGGATCTCCGTCAGGAGGTGATTGGTGGATTCTTTCGATTTCCTGATCAATGACGTCTAGGCTCTTTTTGATCACGGCTTTCAGGCAATCCAATAATTTTTAAATGATCTCTCCTGGATCTATTTTCCAGATTAGTTGTTTTTCCAATGAGATATTTCACATTGTTTTCTATTTTTTCATTCATTTGGCTTTGTTTTACAGTGTCTTGATTTCTCATAAAGTCACTAGCTTCCAATTGTTCCATTCTAATATTTAAGGAAGTATTTTCTTCAGTAAGATTTTGGACTTCTCTTTCCATTTGGTGAATTTTGCTTTTTAAGGCATTCTTCTCCTCATCGGTTTTTTGGACTTCTCTTGCCATTTGGGTTAGGCTATTTTTTTTCTTTTTTCCCCCTACATTTTAATACAGGTAGAACATTGAATGATTCCTTCACTTCAGCTCCTTCACAGCCAAACCAGGAGGCAGGGACTGTTTAAGTTTCTCTGCCTTCTCTTTGTCTGTGATGACCAGTGTGTACAGGTACCTGCCGCAGTGAACCTTAAACTTCACATTGTCCTTGTTTTTCTTGATCTTGACAGATTTGGCATCTTTTCACCTAGCTGTCAGCAGGAAGTCTTTTATTTCCTCAATTTTTCAGGGCATGGCGGTGGCGGTGGTGGGATGAGGGGCAGCATCTGGCCTGAGAGGTCGTGCCACGGGAGAGATACTCACAACTGCCGAGGGCCAAGGAAGGGGTTAGGCTATTTTTAAAGTGTTATTTTCTTCAGTATTTTTTTGGGTCTCCTTTAGCAAGCTGTTGACTTGTTTTTCATGATTTTCTTGCAGCTCTCTCATTTCTCTTCACAGTTTTCCCTCTACTTCTTTTATTTGCCTCTCAAAATCCTTTTTGAGCTCTTCCATGGCCTGGGACCAATTCATATTTTTCTTGGAGGCTTTGGATGTATGAGCTTTGACTTTGTTGTCTTCTGGTTGTATGTTTTGATCTTCTTTGTCACCAAAGAAATATTCTTTGGTCTGACTTTTTTTGGGTGAAGTTTGCTCATGATCTCAGCCACTTACTTGAGTTATAAACTCTTTGTTAAGTTAGGGGTCTGCTTCCAGTGTGGAGAATGTACTGTCCCAAGCTTTGGGGGGGTTTTTGCAGCTGTTTTCAGAGATACTTTTAGGGACCTGTAAATTTTCAGTTCTTCCAAGGTGGTATGATAAGGGGCAAGGTGTTTACTCCTTTTCTGGCCTGTGGTCTGGTCTATGAGTGACCACAAGCAGTGTTTTCTGCCTTGGAATGGTGAGGAAGATTCCCTCTGCACTGCCACTGCAAGCTCCACCACATCAGCACTCCTCATTACCACAGGATTGTCATTCAGAACTGTGACCAAGATTCAAGCAGAGGCAAAGCAAGAGGATCCTGACTAAGCACGAGTAAAGAGATTCCTATAATCCCCCTCTGATCAGCCACTCAATTCCCCCTCATTCTGTGGGTTGGAAGTTCTGGAAGCAACCACTGCCCTGTGGCTGTGTGAGGGGAGTGGGGCTGGTACCCATCTTCTCTCTCACTGCAGTCACAGACTTTTCCTGCTGACCTTCTAAGTTGTCTTTGGCATTTGTGGGTTGAGAAGTCTGGAAACCACCACAGCTGCCTGTGATTCAGTCCTCTGAGGCCTGCTCCAGGTTTACTGAGGCCTGTTTTGCCTGCATACCCACACTGAACTGCGTTCCTCTCCCACCCTGGCACAATATACCTTTCCAATCAACTCTCCAGGTTGTCCTGGGCTAGAAATTTGTTTCCCTCAGCCTTCCTTCTGTAAACAACACTCTTCTTAATAAATTTAGGACTAACATTAATGGACTAAATGTTTTGAAAGGTGAAGCACATAGAGTGAAATGTAATAGTCTAATTGATCCTTCAACTGGAAGTCCAGGCATGGAAATTCTAGTTCCAACTCTTGCACCAGTGAATTGTATAATGTTGAGTGAACATTCGAACTCATCCAGTCTTCAGTGACCTCATCTGTGTAATGGGCAATTATATCTAGGTTTCCCCTCAGATCCTTTCATGGGCTGGAAGCTAAATGACTCCAATACCAATCTAGGCTTACAATTTGGGTGATGTTCCGAGAGAGGTTCATCTTCCTTGATGATGAAGGCAGCTGCATGATTTAGCAGTTTGAGGGTTAAACTTGTGTCAAGACCCGAGATGAAATCCTGCCACAGAAACTTTTAGCTGAATGATCTTGACCATGCAAATCAATTTCTCTCAGTAGCAGTATCTTCCTCTGCAAATGGGGGAAATAATAGCCCCTACTTTGTGGATTTTTTCTGAGAATCAAAAGAAATACATATTAAAAACACTTTTTAAAGCCATAAAAGTCTTCATAAATGCTAGTTATTGCTATTGCTACTGTTATATTATTACCTTTATTATAATCATTATTATTTTAGTCAATAAAGGCATAGAATATATGAGGTCCAATATCACTCACCTGTGGAAACTTGTAGAGGTCAAGCAGAGAGAGCTGATGTGGCTCCTCCAATAACAGCCACAGACTTGTCCTGCTCCCAGCAGCTGTAGCTAGGGATGAACTGGCCCTGTCCAGACAGCCACTGCAGAGAGCTCTCCAAGGTTCTCTCATCACTGTGGTAGGTGTTGTAGAGGTGGAATCCCAGGGAAATATTGGGCAATAGATTAGGATCCCTGTTAATCTCCTCTATAGCAAACACTAGAGCCAGGGCCTGCTGGTAATTTTTGTGCAGCCACCTGGAGGTGCAAGTGCCATAGAATATTATCAAAGCTTTTAAACAAAGAATACTTTTCAGAAAAAAAAGAATTCATCAGCCATGTTAATCAAAACTAAGAACTCCAACAGTTGTTTACCTCATCTCATTTGTATTAAAAAATAGCCTCATCCATGTGTCTTATTCCTATATTCTTCCCCATGTTTGATTTCTGAGATGATGAAGACTGTTGTCTTTAAAATTTTATGTGACTCTGCCTGCTTGAGTAATTTACTCATTCCATAAATAGGTATTGAGCACGTAGTAAGGACAAGATCCTATAGACAATATGGATGGTCCTTGACCCTAGAAGGCCTATGGTACAGTGGGAGAAAAAATAGATACACCAATAAGAATAATACAAGGTGGCAGGGGATATGTTAAAGTTTAATGGCACTGAAATCAAAGAAAACTGAGCAAAGGGAGGCCCCATCTTGCTGAAGGAATAAGAGAAGGCTTCAGTTGAGGGCATCATGGCCCATGAAAAGTGAGGATGATTTTGCTAAATGGTTATTTGGTGAAGAGGTCATTCCAAGAAGAGGAAATGCTACAAACAAGCTCACACGAATGTGGGAATAGGATGTACTGCACATTTGTGCTCCCAGCATCTTACTCAGGTCCTGTTTGATATCACCAGTGAAATCTGAGTTCCTGACTCAACCTTCTCTCCCCCCTCATTTTCTTTTCCTCTTGTGTAGGGCCTGAGAAGAATAGAAAACCAAAGTCATTTCAAAGATTTTGACTTAGTTCCAAGTCTCCAACCAGGAAGCCAGTAGCAAAGAACAAATACCTCTATTTTTCTTGGCAATGTTTTAAAATTATGTACAATCTAGTAAGATTTCTCCAACAGTTACCACCTCTCATACAATCTGGGCCTATATTAATGGAGGCAGAATGTGAGGAAGATAGAATACCAACCCCTGGCTACTGCACTTAACATGATAGTAGCCATAGAATTTTCAATTCTGTCTTGAGAAGTCATTTGCTAGGTTTTCGAGAATTTAAGACTCTGTATCCATTCTTTCCTTCTTTATTCATTTTCCATTAAATTAGAATCAGGGAGAAAAGGACAGTCTATACTCACATCAAGGAGTGCCATACTTAAGATAAAAGGTAAAGACTGCATAGAGTTTAAAAGGGCATTTGACTTAGAACAAGATTTTTGTTTAAAGTTTCACCAAAGGATGGTTGAACCTTCTTTTTCCTCTAAGTCAAACCACCAGTTCTGCTGGTTGGTAGATAATAAAGCAACCAATATAAGAAGAAGCATATTAAAACATTAAAAAGGGAAGAAATGGTCAAAATGATTTAATAATTTTGTCCTTTAGACAAAAATAGAGACATAAATACTTATAAAAGGAGAGAAAGGTATAATGGGAAATAAGAGAATTCAGAGGGATTAACAAAGTGACAGAAGGTAAGATAAAAAAGTCTTTGCCTACAAGAAGGTAGAGAAAAGGTCACAATGCTCATCTGCCAAAGTACCATCCATTGTATCTCATAGTCTGTCTCTCACAACCAGAAGGCAGAGTAATCTGCTAACGTGTTTCTTCTCAGCTATCAAAAAGGTACATTTTCCTGGAATTGTATTTTTGTCTGATTCCCATTACCATAGTGCAGACTTACAGAGGCTTTTCTGTGATTTTGCACTGTTACACACAGAGTTTCTGTTATGTAAACCAGGGTTTCTGCAAAGGGAATTGAAATAGGACAAAGTGCAAAACTGAATCCTGGCCACCAGCACAAATGTCACTACAGCTTGTCAAAATTTTTGAAAGGGAATGCAGTTCTATTTCTCTTGGATGCCTCCAGTTGAGCAAAACTGATGTGGAGAAACAAAAAAGCTCCCTTGTATCACTTGGAGAAAATCAGAACACTCCAGACATCACTGAGCAATAGCACAGATCTATAAAGAAATTTAGAAATCTCAATTAGTATTTGTTATAACTAGCCTGAGCATAACTCTCTCTTCCCAATAAACTCAATGTTCCAATCCCTCAGTTCAGGCTCTGTCTCAGGCTGGTCTAGTCAGCTTTGTTACGGTTCCTTAGCCAGGTATGCTCATGAAAATGTAACTAGTTCCAAGAAGAATCAAGAAAAATTGATAAATTCAAACACCTACAAGAGGGAGAAGACCTAACAGTATATGTTCCAGTGGAAGGGAAGGTAGGAGGAATATAACATTTTCATTGAAGAAGGAGATGCCATAACTCCCCAAAATATGCTCACTTGTTAACAGAGAGGCAAATGTAGTGAGGAAATATGGGAACTTTTATTCCTGTGAATGGGGCAGGATTTTTCTTGCCCAATAATGGCAGACTCAAGAGCAATAACTCTGCAAAAAGATGGAAAAGAGGCACAGGCCTCAAGAATCTCTGCTGCTTGGGGGTATTAACCTAATTCCAGGGGCCCTGGGGTTCACGTCCACTGATTAAGTAATAAAACATAGTCAGGACAAAGGAGGCAGAGGGATGAAATGCTGAGCTGTTTAGTACTGAGCTCTCCAGATATGAGCTATTTCAAAGGGATTTGGGAGGAGGAAATAGAGGAGAGAAGTTTTCTCTGTTCAACTTTGAAAGTTAATCGAACAGAGGGGAAAGTGATGAGAATGTAAAAAAAATCAGAGACAAGAAGATGGGGAAAGTACCTATTGTGTCCTCCCTCATGGGCCTGCCTTTCTGCTCCATCTCTAAGGACATCTTTTTAATCATCGAAGTGAAAATGACCCCAGACAGATAGAGGCACTTACTGATAAGGCTTACAGGTTTTGTGAGGTGGACTTTCAAACAGTTCCTCTCCTGTTATACTGTTCACTTCAACAGAGAACAAGGCTAAAAAGATCCCAATCACCAGGTCTCCATCTCAGGAAACAATGGGATTAATCTGGTGGAAGCAAGGAAGATTCTCTGTCCTGTGCCCAGAGACTGGAAGCTGTAGCAGCAGACATATGAGAATGGAAGAAAGGAGTTGAGAAATACTTTTCTGAATATGAGACAACATCTGGAAAATTAACCAAAGTTCTAAGCCTGGGGAAACCAAGGGGCCACACAGGCTAGAGCAAAGTTCAGCTGCCTTAATTATGGATTGATGAGGATCTTTCCATCATCAGAAATGATCTGTCTTTCTGTAGATGCCCAGGCTCTGGACTGCCTGTCACACCTAAGCAAGTACAATGGGACATTGGTCAGGTCCTTGTCCAAGACAAGAACAATGGTGCAAGACCCATGGAAGTTTTTATAGTTTCACCAGGTTTTAGACCAAACTCTGTCTCACAGGAACCTTATTTTTAGATACTGACAAGGACCACTCCTCCTACTCCAGCCTCCACAGAGAAGTCTTGGTTGAGGAAAAACTCTGGGGACCTGACTGCCTGGGCCATCACCAGCTGAGTCTCTGCATCCAAAGGAAAAACATAGATCCAAAATTGTGTTTTGGACTGTTTTTCTCTTGTTCCCAGCAGGGGCTACAGTACAGAAGTGCCTTCCTAGGAAAGTAATTTCTGTGTCCTGGATTCAGCAAAAGACCTGCGATGATTAAACCGCATGAGAAATTCCCTGTTATAGGACAAGATTACTGTACCAGGTGCAATGTAAGCCAGGTCTTATACTCAGGACTCAGTGTAATCTATTCTGACAACTTATTATAATATATACAATGCTCACGAATCCCCTCTCCAAAGTTAGTACTCTTTCTGCTACTTATTACTGCCTCCCAGAGAAGTGCACAAGCATGCCTCATCCACTCAGAATGCAAGTGGACATGCATTTGTCCATGAAGACTCATTACAAATATTTTATTTCTGAGATAACCAGAGTTATAAGGTGCCTCAGAGGTCATTAAGCATAAGACATCAATGATATAACTGTGCATTCTAGGATGTGGAGTTAAAATCATCAAAGGAGAAGGAATACATGTGTTAGGGCATAAAAATCTAATGATAAAATACAGAAAAGCAGAACTATTAAATGCATCCATCTCAGATCTTTTTTTATCGAAGTATTGCAGAATGAGAACCATTTATGTGACGTTACAACATTCTAGAGAAAACATCTTTGAAATATCCTATTACTCCGATCAATGCAATGATCGAGCACAAGTCCAGAAGATGGAAGATGAAACACAGTGCTCAATTTCTGCCAGAGGGGATGCGCTTGAAATGCAGAGGCACACACTGGCCCGATGTGGGGATTTATTTTGCTCGGCTACATGTTTATGTTGAGATTTTTTTCTATTATAATGCAATGAGGAAGAAGCAGAGGAAGTGACAAAACATGAATGCATATATGGAATAAATGTACTATTATACATTGTATTGTATTGTATTGTATTGTATAATAAATTTCAACTGCTAGAGAGGAGTGGGAAAGAGATTATTCTGGTCCTAGAGTTCCCACTTTTCTAACTCTTATAGCAGGACTCAGAATGGCCAAGCATTAGAGCTAAAAGAAGCCTCAGAATGCCAAGAGCCATACTATAGAATCAAGAATTCCAAGGGTGGGAGTACTCTTTTTTCTTTTTTAAAATTAATATATTTTGAATTATCAACAATTACTTCCATATGCTTTTGAGTTTTAAATTTTTCTCCCCCTCCCTCTCCATCCCCCTCCTCAAGAGGGGACACAATCTAATACAGGCTATACCTACACATTCCAATTAAACATACCTCCACATTGGTGATGTTGTAAGTAAGAATTAGAACCAATAGGAGGAACCACCAGAAAGAGGAAACAAAACGCAACAGAAGAAAAAAAATAGCAAATACTATGATTCGATCTGCATTCAAATTCCATAGTTCTTTCTTTGGATGTGGGATAGCATTTTCCATCATAAGGCATTTGGAGATGTCTTAGATCCTTGTATTGCTGAGAAGGGCTAAGTCTATCAATGTTAGTCATTGTGCAACGTGGCTGTTACTATGTACAATATTCTCCTGGTTCTGCTCACTTCACTCAGCATCAGTCCATACAAGTCTTTCCAGATTTTTCTGAAGTCTGCCTGCTCATCATTTCTTATAGCACAATAATATTCCATGACATTCATATACCACTACTTGTTCAGCCATTCCCTAACTGATGGGCATCTTCTCAATTTCTGATTCTTTGCCACCACAAAAAGAGGCACTATAAATATTTTTGTACGTGTGGGCCCTTTTCCCATTTGTATGATTTCTTTGGGATACAGCCCTATAAGTCCTATTACTGGGTCAAAAAGCATGCACATTTTGTAGCCCTTTGGGCATAGTTCCAAATTGCTCTCCAAAATGGTTGGATTATTTCACAACTCCACCAATAATGTATTAATGTTCCAATTTTCCCACATCTTCTCCAACACTTATCATTTTCCTGTTTTGTCATGTTGGCCAATCTTCTTCTTTTTTTTTTTTATCAGTCAACAAACCTTTATAAGTAGAAAGCAGAAAGGTTATGCTTAGCAAGCAGTCAGCATGTAACATTATCTGAGTACATTAGCAATCCTGCAGTGTCAGAGACATGAGTTGCCCTGGTCATACACGATATGTGCCTCTACAAGTGTGCCTTCAGCTCATAGGTTCTCAGAGTGTGTCTCTTTTTAAAAATTAGTTTATTTTGATTTATCAATATCTCAGATCTTAATGCAATAAAAAATACATTCAATAAAAGGCAGTGGAAAGATAGATTAAAATTAATTGGAAACTAAATAATCTAATAATAAAAAGTGGATCAAAGAACAAATCAGTAACTATTGATAATTTCATTTAAGAGAATGACAACAGTGAGAAAACATGTCTAGTATATGATTAACCCCAAAATTCAAGCTTTGGAGAAAAATATATTATTTGACCAAAAAAAAAAAACAACTTCTGGGAAAACTGGAGAACAGTATGGTGAAATGAGGTATAGACCTATAGCTCACACTGCATATCAAGAGAAGGTCAAAATAGGTACATAATTTAGACATAAATTAGACATAATTTAGACCACAAGCAAATTAGGGGAGCATGGAATAGTTTACCTGTCATATCTATGGATAATGGAAGAGCTTAGGAGCAAACAAGAGACAGAGAGCATTACAAAATGTAAAATCTATAATTTTGATTATATACAATTAATTTTTCATATAAACAAAACCAAAGCAACCAAGTTTAGAAAGGAAGCAGAAAGTTGGGGAAAATTTTACCAGAAGTATCTCTCATAAAGGCCTCATTTTTTAAATATATAGAGAACCTAATCAAATTTATAAGACTACAAATCACTTTTCAATTGATAAGTAGTCAGAGGATGTGGGCAGGCAGCTTTCAGACAAAAGAAAATCAAAGCTATTTGTCATCTTATGAAAAATGCTCTAAATCACCATTGATTAGAGCAATTCAAGTTAAAACAACTTTGACTTAACACCTCACACCTTTCTGATGGGTAAAATGACAAAAAAGAAAAATGATAAATGTTGGAGGGGATGTCAAAAAACTGGTATATTAATGTACTGTTGGTGGAGTTGTGAACTGATTAAACCATTCCGGTGGGCAATTTAGAACCATGCCCAAAGGCTATCAAACTGTGCATGCCCTTTGATAAAGTAATACCACTACTAGGTCTGTATCCCAAAGGAAAAAGAATGGAAAAGAATTTATTTGTACAAAAAGTTTTATAGTGGCTCTTTTTGCAATGGCTATGAATTGGAAATTGAGGGGATGTCTATTAGTTGGAGTATGGATAAACAAGTTGTGGTATATGATGATAATGGAATATTGTTCTATGAGAGATGACAAGCAGGATGATTTCAGAAAAAAAAAACATGGACAGACTTGCATGAGTTGATACAAAATGAAGTGAGCAGAACCAGAAGAACATTGTATACAGTAACAGCAATATTTTGCTATGAAGAACTGTGAATGACTTAGCTATTCCCAGCAATACAATGATCCAGGACAATCCCAAAGGACTCAGGGTGAAATATGCTATCCACTCTAGATAAAGAAACGATATCATCTGAATACAAACTGAAGCATAATATCTCTCTCATTCCTTCTTTTTTTCTTTCTCTTTTTTTTCCTTTCTCTCTGTCTTCCATTTTATTTGTTTGCTTGAATCTTCTCATACAAATTGACTTATATGGAATGTTTTACATGACTGCACATGTGTAACCTATATTGGATTGCTTACTATCTCAGGGAAGGAAAGTAAGAGTCAAAGGAGGGCTAGAATTTGGAACTCAAAACTTTTTAAAAATGTTAAAAATTGCTTTGATATGTAATTGAGGAAAAAACTAAAGATTATTTTAAAAAGTGGGAAAAAAAGAATTCAAGCTCCTTCAAGAGAGGAAATATATTTTTACTTGTATTTGTATCCCCAGAACTTAGCACAATGTCAGACCCATAATAAGCACTTAAGTTCTTGTTGACTAACTGATGTATTGATGAGTGATGGAACAAGTCCTGGAAGAAAAAGGAGAAGGAATCAAAGGATCAAGTTAGCCTTAGAAAGGACCCTCACCTTATACTTTAAATCCCTATGATAACACAGTGTTCTCTTCTTCAATGGGCAGAAAATTTCTTGAAAAGTCAGAGATTTAGGGGATTCATCCCTATTGACTTAGTTAATTTCAACAAACATTTTAGGTACTTCCTGTGTGGAAAGATAAATGCTGAGAACAGTGAGAGGATCCAGAAACAAAGTTTGGAAAAGATGCAATCATTTCCTAACAAAGCCCAATAATTGGATAATATACAGAAAAAAAATAACAGAAAGATTCCATTTTATATTCAAGGTTAAAGGGGGCAAACAAAGTGATACTAAAGGGCCATGACTGGTAGAATCCAGTGAGGGCTTCAGAGAGGGAGATTTTTGTTTGTTTGTTTTTGTTTTAGTTGTGTGTGTGTGTGTGTGTGTATCTTCAGAGGATGGGATGGACTTCCATTGCCATTACCAAAATAGAAGATATGAATAAAGATATAAACAGGGGGAATTCTGGAACATTGGAAACATTCAAATGGAGGAGGAACATGCTTAGATCTGTGGGTAATGGATGGCATTGGCCAATGGTGGCACAG